CTTTTATTATTTTATTTATTAAGAATGATTATTAATTATTTCGGATTCGACGTCTCTAAAGAACACATTTTCTTTCGTCTTTTAATATGTAATATTATTAGATTGCCTGCATTTCTTGGTTTGTTTTGTAATTTAAAGTGTCATTGAAAAAAAATTTTTAATTATAAAAACTATTGTGTACTTTCCTTCCTTTTAAAATTTTGCCTAAGGAAATGAGATAAAACTGGAATAAGAACATTTGAAAGCAGTTCTAAACCCAGAATAAAAATTACAATTAAATATTATTAGTAACCATATAAAGTCATAGTTCTTTTCTTCTTCTTCGGGGGAGGGGATGTTTACGAAATTAACTGAATTAATTACGACCGATATGTGTATGCATGTGAAGAATACTCAGAGGTGAAGAAAACCTTGTGTCGGATGAATCATACTGGAAAAAATTGTTGTAAATTATCGTCATTATTATTATAAAAATGTTTATAATCATAATTAATCTATACTCCGCTACTTTAATTTATTTAACTTTTCATTTTTTCTAAATCTATTCATCAGTCACACTACTTAAGTTATTACTATTTTTAAGTTTATATGCATAATTTTTTATTGTAATGCACTTGTTGCGATGTATTCCTCGAAAAGCGTAATTAATTTACTAAATTTAAGGACAGCTTGTTTCCTTAATTAAAATTTGTTGTGCTAATATAACAATATTTTTAATGAAGAAAAGTTGCGAAATTAATTATTAAAGAAATTGCTTAAATGAAAAGTCTATGTTGTTTTTAATTATAAAAGACTTGCTTTATTTCAAATTTTAGAATAATTTTTTAAAGTTGAAAAAGAAATGCAGATTAAATTTTTAATGCAATATGTCTGATTTTTCCAATTTGTAAGCGTATCTCTAGATTCTGATTTTATACAGTATCGAGTATTTTTGTGATTTACGTGTAAAAGATGTAAAAGAGTATATCCGGGATTATTTTTGGTCCCAGAAATTATTTTTTGGTTAAAAGAGCTAAAAAGTACTGATACGTGTACTGTGTTTAGGTATTTATTTGGATTAGGAAACAGGAAATATGAGCTAGGCGCTCTCTGGGATTCGAGCACCGGATCTTCCGACTGGTAGCTGGGCATGCTACCAATTACACAATGAGAGCAGACACTGGAGAAGGCAGAACAATGTCTCTCCAGTGTCTGCTCTCATTGAATTCTTTTTAAATCTCTAGTTTTTCTTCAATTACTGGAAATTTTGCTTAGTAGCACGCTCCAAAAAAAAACTATTAAGATTTTTGTTTTCATTATGTAACAAGAAAATTATTATCACTAAAGTTTTATCATTTGCTTTTCTGCATTATCCTCTACCTCCTATCAAGCATTTTGAGTTATTTTAGGAAAGCTGTTGAAAAACCTGTCTTAAGTTTCTTTGTTATCTTTATTACCTTATCTTTAAAAATAAATATATAAACTTATATTAGTAAACACATTTAGTTTACTAAAGAAAGGCTGAATTTTCAGATAAGGTTTTAGTTTTCTAAAAATCACTGTATCAAAGAACTTGCCCTTTTTTGTATTCTGTCAGACTGATTTATTTCTATAATTGCTTATTGTTCTTCAATCTTTTAAATAACTTCCTCCATCTACTTTGATATGTGCTATTCAGGTGACTTTTCTCATTTACTTCTTACGTTCAGAGTTAAAAAGGGTTTACATAGGAGATAAAAAATATGATTTATTCATTTACGTGATTTGTAAAATAAAGAGTGTGTTATAATTAAACCTGCGGATTTTAGTGTATTGTTACATCGTAACAAAAAGTTGCAATTCATCGTGATGTACTGTTAATGAAAAGAGAAAAATCCATCTTTCTTACAGGCATTATAAATTATCATTTTGCCATCTCTTCTTGATATTGCAAATATAATATATTTCAAGCTGCGATCATTCCAGTTATGCCTGGATACCGCAATAATGAAAGTTTTCAGAAGTGTAGATTATCTTATATTTCTTTCTTTAAAAGATTATGTTAATGATGGCAAACCTGAGGAAAAACGAATTTAATTTAGTGTTTCATTCTAATCTTTATAAGAACGCAAGTGTATAGTTAAAAAGTAGATTGCAACATGCAACTGCATGTTATTATGAATCATGTGAAAATGATAATTTAGGAGAGCAGAAACAAATACGAGGGGCATTTTACGAGTTTTGCAATCCCTTCTTCGAAGATCGCCAGTGATGTGAGACAAGCCTGAACGTTTTTTAAAGCTACTCATTGGTCTAAATCTTTGGCCTCCTAAACAGTTCTTTAACTCAGTGAAGAGACGAAAATCACTAGATGCTAATTCAGAGCTATACGCTGTGTCCCAAACTGGAACGAGTTTGACCACTCGGAGTATAGCCCCGACTTAGATCCGAGTGATTTTCTCCTCTTCCTTGAATTGAAGAACCGTCTAGAAGGCCGAAGATTCCAAACCAGTGAGGCCCACCTCACATCATTGGTGGCAACGTTCCTCGAAGGAAGGATCGAAAAGCTCATCCACTGATATGACAAATGTCTGAATCTTACGGCGATTTTGTCAAAAGTAACCATATTTGTACGTAACGTCTGCTAATAAATTCATGTTTTTTTTATTCTTGTCTTTATTTTACGGCCCGTTGTAGAGTGGGAAAAAAACACCCTCCAAAAAATATAATTTTCTTTTTACAAATATATCAAAATTCATTTCGTAAAACATTTCAAAACAGATGTGTTGTATTTTTAGTGAAAGTTACTACCGATATAAAATGCTTTAATTGTATCTATGCAAATACTGTTGATTGATTTTGCCTTAAAAACCCCGCCCTTGTGTAATGTAACCTTGTTAGTCATTTTTTAAATACTGCTTTTCTGTGTATGAAATTAATGATTTGAAAGCGAAGATTCCTCATTAATGATAGATGTATTTGAAATATGTGATTTATTAACGGAATACTTTAAAAAATTGCTTTCGTAAACACTGATAATATTTATACTAGTTTTTAAAAATGTATCAGAATGTGTTCTCAACAAAAGCTTCAAAAATAATTTATAAAACGTATGTAATTAAAATAAACGTAGATCTCTAAAAAAATTCTCATCATACTTTCTGTATAGAACAGCCCAAATAACAGAAATTGAAATAGAAAATGGAATGCCATTTTTTATAATTAGTAGAACTAAAATTTTTTCTCAGAGTTAACTTCAGATGAAATATTGATTGAGTTTCGAAAAAAAAAAAACTTTTTTTATGACAGCTAATTATGCTGCCTATAATTAAGGGCCCAAATTATAGGCATTATAATTTGCTTCTGGATAAAAAGAGTAATTTCTTTGATACTCGAAATACGTGAAGACCTTTTTATTTGAAATTAATGCTGAACAAACGCTGCATTTTTTTTTCGATTTTTAATATTGCCTAGTACCATATTTGTCTCATATTTCTCCCCCTCCTAAATTTCAACTCTTCTCTTTTATTTAGCATATTATTTAGAAACTTTTGATTTACGGTAACAGTTTAAAATGTATCGGCAAATAGGAAATTATTTTGTATAATTTAAATGAATATTATTGAAAATTATAAATCCTATGAAGTATATAAAATAATAGTATTAGTGTGCCTTTATGTGTACTTTTTAGAGTGCTATGTGTATAATTTAAGCTGTCTTTTCAGAAACAGTGTCTATCGCATATTTTGAAAGGGGAGGGATTCAAATTTTTAAGAATATAAAATTTTTAGAGTTATGTCATTTCTTAAGATTAAATATTTTTACTGTTTTACCAGAGTAAAGGCGTTTGTAGAAAAACAAGAATTACGCTCGAAAACGTGCACGAACTGTAGAAAAAAGTGATTATGTAAAATATATTAAATCAAACTATTACAAAGGCTGTGAATTTCATATTTCTGTAATTCATAAAACGTTTAATTTCGGGAATTGAAAACAGTTATGTGATGTAAACGCTGTAAGAATCAGTTTTTATAATTAAAATGATCGTCTTAACTTCCCCCCTCCCTCCCGAGAAGTGGGGACGGCACGCTCCACCCACTCACTTAGTCTATTCCTTACAAGATCAATACTTAGACAATATCTGTCTCAGTTGGAAGTTTCATAAAGGTAGACTTAACTGTGCACTTTTAATGATCATCCACATCCTATCTGGCCGTCTCAGTCATTCGATTTAACTTGACGGGATTTCTGCCTTTAAGGCAACTATGAGATGCGTGTATGCCGCCTTTGTTCAATGCTAAATATCCACTAAACCGGACTACAGAACGGGCATTCGCTGCGTTACGAATGTCGGTTTCATTAAGAATTTACACGGTTTGTAAAAGAAATTCATTTGCATTACTGTTGATTATATAACCCTTTTCGCTTATGCTATAAGTCATAATGATCTTCGGGATTTTATCTATCAATTATCCTTAAAAATTGGCTTAACAAAGCATACTGAACGACTTGTGGTATACATAGATTTTAAGTAGAGTCTCATATGCAAAGACGTTATTGCTTTAAGACGCATCCGACTGATTGTGAAAATTTTCACAGAAGAGAAACTGATTTAGTTTATAAGTTTGCGTGTTTTTAAAGATAATTAATAGATAAAATCGCGAAGATCATTACGATTATCTCAGTACAAATGATTTTTTAAATTAATGAGACCATTCTAAATAAGCAAATTTAAAAAAGGGTCATCTGCTTAAAATCTGTATGATAAAATTTATCTTTAAAGTTTTATTTCCTGTACTGTATATTTACAGGATTTTAGTAGCAATTGCTTTATCATTCGCTCATCTTTTAAAATGTTGTAATATTTTTCTACGTGTTATTTGTTATTTTAAAGTAATATCTTCGTGTGTCACGTTTGAAACATTTCCGTGTTTTCACATTGTGATCAATTCATCTTCATTCATCTTACATTGTGATTGATTCTTCTACTGCATATATGCAGCAGATGTATTATCATACTAATCTCCGTGTTTTCTTTGTAGGACACCAGGACACATGTTGTGGGTGAATTGTATGATACGGAGAAATCCTATGTGGAGTCACTGCAAATTCTTGCTAACGTGAGTACCCATTTCAAGTTAGAGTTGAATTACTAATATCTAATATATTATTTCTTCCATCACCACGGTGCTGCTTAGAAATATTGGCAGTTTTTCTAACAGCTTAGTTTTTTAAGAAGAAGCAACTAAAGCATTTAAGTTCAGGATGTGAGAAGCAATTTTTTTTAATTGACATCTGAACAGCATAAGTTTTCTTTTGCTTGTATAGTTTTATGTAAGTTTTCGAAAGGAATTAAAAAATTCGTGCTAAAATCAATAGTAACAATTAGGGTTTCCTTAGGAGTGGATTTAAATTAACTTGACGTTTTTAGAAATAAGGAGCTGATTTTTATCGCATTAATAAATTCATGGTAATATTCTGTCATATTTGGGTGCGATAAAAAGAAAAACGTAATAACTTTTTTTCTTTGGGAAATTAAAAAGATAAGCTAGTGTCAAAAATAGGTAACAAATAAATTTAACAAAATATAATTCAATAAAATTATGTATTTTTTATTTTTTATCTTTTAAAATTTTATTTATTAATGTATTTATTTTTTGCATTGGCTTCTTTTAATGTAATTTCGTTACGCTTGTTTTGAGTACCAGGTGTGATACGTTTTTAAAGTTTATAAATCCAGTTCTGTATTTCATTTGCATTATAGAAATGTTCGTTTCAGTAGATTGTTTTAATCAGAAAACCGCCTCAAAAAAAGATCTAAAAATGTTTAGTCCAAGGAATCTGAAATCCTAAGAAATACTCAAAGACTACACAAATACGTATAAAAAATGCGAGGTGATGTATAAACATGAATTCTAAAAGAAATGTGATTAAAGTGCGGTCTTCATTGATTTTACCCCTGGCATTCAGCTCTAGCAAATAAATTACATTAGTATTTAACGTAACGTATGCGATAATACGTTACGTTAATTCTGAAACACGTTAATGTGTTTCAGAAATTGTATGGATACCCTAAGACGTTAATGAAAACGGAAAGTCATCCGCTTCATATGCTCATAACACAACTTTTATCATCTATTTATTGAAGCTGGAAAGTTATTTAATCTACATAGGTGTATAATATTACACTTCCCAAATCTCTAACACTCTGTATGTTTTGTGAATTAGACCTAATCACGCCTGTGTACCTAGTTTACAAAGACAGTTGACTTTTGAAAACAGAAATAGTAACATAGAGCATACGCCAAAGCATACGAAAGCAAAGAATCTATGTGTACTAGGAATCGCTCAATCTACAGGGAGATAAGCGAATAAGCCCTGATTTCAAAATTAAATATCTCTACAACAAAGATCGGTAGAATTATGCGGTAAACTGTACGTTTATTAGCAAAACTGTAAAAATGGTGTACAAAAGTTTATAAAATTTAGTTATGAAAATCGTTAACAGATGGCGCTCTAATCGAAATGACCTATCAATAGCCTTTAAAATGTGCTTCGAAATCGAAAGTGATCAGTACAATTGTTGGCTAGTGAAAAGAGGCTAGCGTAGAAAGTTAAATAATGTATTCCATTGAACAACGTGTATTTTGGTTCTGGAATTTCACCTACGGCAACACGTCGCAGTTTTCAAAACCGATTCAATGTTCCAGTTGGACCCGATGCGAAAACCATTCGCATGCTCTTCGCGAAATTCGAATGACTGGCAGCGTGGCTGATGATCGAAAGGAAAATGTTGGGCCTAAGCAAACTATAGTCACCCCTGAAAATGCAGCCAAAGTTTTTGAATTTGTTCAGCAAAATCCTAGGACAAACATCCGACGAATTGCATCAGAGACAGATTTGAAGAACACGAGCACACAAAAAATATTTAATAATAGTCTACGGCTGTTTCTATACAAAATCCAAAGTCATCAGGCCATACCCTTGAAAGCTGTGCAACAAAGGGTTGACTTTGCGAATCAGATTTTAACAATGATCGACAATGACAGATTTGATGTGAGCTGCATCTGGTTCACAGATGAGGCACATTTTCTTTTACAGGGAATCGTTAATAAACAAAACTGGAGATTTTGGGGTACCGAAAATCCTCATTTGTGTGAAGAAAAAGCACTGCATTCGCCTAAAGTTATGGCATGGGCTGCGGTATGCGCCAGAGGCAATATCGGACCCTTTTTCGTACGAAAAACGATAACTACAGAATGTTACGTTACAATTTTGTCATCACTCAACTAGCGTTGGAGGATCGACTGGTTCCTGCAAGATGGGGCTCGACCACATCGAACAAATAAAGTTTTTTCCTTTCTTCATGAATAATTTGGGAATAGAGTAATTGCGTTAGATTATCCTCAATTTACTGACACAGGAATAGCTTGGCCTCCATATTCTCCCGATCTGAGTCCTTGTGACTTCTTTCTGTGGGGCGCATTGAAAGACGCTGTCTATCGAAACAATCCTGCTACTCTAGATGAGCTTGAATCGTTGATTGGTGTTGCATGTGATTCCATTTCCGTCGAGACATTGCAAGACGTGATGTCAAATTTCATTGTTCGTTTACGCCACCTCATTGTTTCGAACGGTGAACATTTTGAAAAAAATTGTATTTTGATTGCAAAGGTTGCTTCACTTTATTTTTTTAATTATTTTTTTTACTCCTTTCAGAGAGAGTTTTCAGTGCAGAGCGCCATCTGTTAACGATTTTCGTAACTAAATTTTATAAACTTTTGCACACCATTTTTACAGTTTTGATAATAAACGTACAGTTTACCGCATAATTCTATTGATCGTCGTTGTAGAGATATTTAATTTTGAAATCAGGGCTTATTCGCTGATCACCCTGTATATGTACCAGTAGTCGCTCGGTATCCTTTGTTAAGCTAATTTTTAAAGACATCAATAATGATAATAATAATGAGGCTAATTCTCTATGTTAATTATTTTTCTTTTAAAAGTCACTGAAACAGGCTACGCGGTAGGTTTCTTTTTATGACTTTTTTTAATGTGAATTTTAATTACGAGTCAATTGTGTTTAAAAATCTGTCTACGTGGATATCCATCATAAGACAGATACTCTCTGTGCGCTGCGCTGTAATGTAATCGTTGCCTTTCTGCAGTAAAAATAAATGATTAATGTTTGGTAAATGATGTGTTTAAGATATTGAAATTTGCCTAAATGCGTTTTGTGTAAGCTTACAAACGTGTGTCATTATGACTTTTTTTCTTTAAAATGACTGCTATTACATACACTCATCTCTCATTCCTATTGCATTTTGAAATCTTTAGTATTAACGTGTAAAAATAATATGAAATTTCACTTATGAAGCTGTTGCGTAATTTCGTCTGAAGTTAAATACGGTACAAAATCGCAGAAAATTTCTCATTCTTTTGCTTTCATTTACATAACCAAATTTAACCTAAACTGCTAGGTCGTTAAAGATGATTTGAAAACGGTAACTTTAACTGGGAAATGCTCAGCAATAAATTATGTGAAAGGTTTAATAAAGTTTTAGTTTTCAAGTCTGAAGATGTAAAAGGCAATAGTTCTCCCTATATCTAACTCATTTTAATTTAACAGGAGTATCTGTTTTGGCTTCATCAATTCATCCGCATACATTTTTTTTAAATCACTAGACTGTAAGCTTTTTTAAGTGAATGATGAGGCTTGGGAAATGCTCTTTCGGACAGTTTGACACCAAAAAAATTAATTCAATAAAATGGGTAAACATTATCAGCTAAATGTTCCGTTGATTGATTAAATTATTTTTGCTGCTGGAAAAACAAAGGATTTATCAATTAGATATCCATTTACGAAAGATGTGCGATTAGTTTCCGAATCATTGCTTTTTAACAACCTACACTGCATTGCCACGTATAAATGAAGTCTAGATGAGACACCTATAAAAGAAAATTTTTAAATCGATAAACCGAGCTATTGTGTGGAAAACTTAAAACTCAGAGAGCTACTGTGCGACAAAAATTAAATAATTTATAATAGTATTTTCTGTTGGGAATTGGAAATGCGTAACTGATATTATAATCGCTGATTTATTGCATAATTTATGTATTTGAGATGTCTTTAGTGATATAAGAAACTTCTTATCTTGCGGTATTTGTCGTTAATTTAACAATCAGCGAACCTACTGTATTCATATTAATTTTTTATCTTAATTTAATTCGTGGGTTTAATAGTTGGGTATGGGGTTCGAATCCCGGCGAACGGGCTGGCTGCATGGGCGTTTTCTTGTTTTTTCCCGTGTGTAACGTGTATATTAGCCAATTTCCCTTAAAACGTCCTCCACGAAGGCATCCCTCAGGCAGATATTGCTCGAGTGCTTTATTATAATTAAATAAACCAAACCAATTAATTCATGGGAATGGTTAAAAAACATCACAAAAGGCTTGGGTATGACTTTAACATATGCATTTTTGTATATTTATCGCCAATAACATTCCCACTGAATTCCGTAAAAATTGCGCACACATGACGTAAGAGGGAAATGAGATATTTTTTATAAAATTCTAAATTTTGTTTCGAAACTAAAACTAGAAATTAATCGTTTTACAGCATCATAACTTTTCTGCTCATTTACCTGATAATGCAAGTAAATAAATAACATAGTATCAAATTCTTTCACACTTTAAAAAGGAAATAAACTTCATTTTTTTATTCTAGGATTGGAATCATTATGGAAGTCTATTACGTATAGCGAAGTCTGATTTAGCTTTAAGTATTATTTATGAAAAAAAGATTGTTCTTTTAAGACGTTAATTTTATCCATATGTTATTTTCATTATAAAATTATAATTATGTTAAATATTTTAAAAATTCCAAAGCACTCCTATAAAGTGGAAGAATGTAGAAGTTTGATTTTTTGGGGGGACAGGGGGCAATTAGTGTCTCATTTCATTAAATATTATTTAAAATTTGCATCCCGCATCATCAACAGTTCTCAAAGGAAACCTTAGAGAATTTCATTGAAGAGATTTTGTTCAACCGGGATTTCTGAAATTGTCATAAACCCCGCAACACTCATGCGGGATTTGAATTTCTACGAACTGAACT